GCACCTGCTGCACCTGCTGCACCTGCTGCACCTGCTGCACCTGCTGCACCTGCTGTACCTGCAGCACCTGCTGCACCTGCTGTACCTGCAGCACCTGCAGCACCTACAGCACCTGCTGCACCTGCTGTACCTGCTGCACCTGCTGCACCTGCTGTACCTGCAGCACCTGCAGCACCTGCTGCGTCGCCTCCGCTGGCCCGTCCTGGGGGTCATGGATTAGTCCCATGCAGGTCATGAGTTTAGTTTTTTAATGGATTTAATGGATTAGTTATAAATAAATTAATTTTTTTCTTAATCAAAATATTAATATAAAAATAATAATAATTAATTAATAAAATTTTTTATTTAATATTATATTATTTAAAAATTATTTTAATTAATTCATAATATTTACTTCATTAATTGTAATTATTAAAGCAATCATTTTCTTTAGTGGATTGAATGGATTTAGTGTTAATGGATTTTCAATGCATAAGCGAACTTTGCTTAACGGAATTAATTTTCTCGGAATGAACGTATTTCAGGTACGGCAAATAACTTGGTTTAGAGGATTAATTTTCTGACAGGAATACATTCCGAATATGATCTTGGACTGGTAAAGAACAATATTGATTTCTGATATAAAAATAATTACCAAACTAAACCATGTTAAATGAATGAGCCTCATCCAAAAATCTGAAGAGATTCCCGATGTAAATTTGAAGAAATATCAATTTTTAGAATTGAATTTGCTTGTACATATTTATTCATTACAATCCAAACAGAATAATGTTTTATTAGTTAACCTCTTTTGACACTGATACCATTTTAACACAGTATCCATGATCCAGGCTATACTCTATATGTTATATGCTATACTCTAATATACTCGAATAGGATCGATTTGTGTCAAGTAAGCATGTTAACGTACAATATATTTGAAAGTCATTCGTTTTTTCGACGTCATCTTTATGCAAATGAGCAGCAACTCCACACATATCAGCTCTATAATTTTAAATATGAGTTATATATAAGACTATATTTTTGGAATAATATAAAACTTAAGATGCTATTTTGTAATAATGAGGGTTGACTATCATCACTACAATAGGTACATTTTCATCACTAGTTCCAAAGTGACGAGTAACTAACAGCAGTCGTGACCACCAGAGCATCAAGCAACGAGTAACTAACAGCAGTCGCGACCACCAGAGCATCAAGCAGCGAGTAACTAACAGCAGTCGCAACCATCAGAGCATCAAGCACCGAGTAACTAACAGCAGTCGCGACCATCAGAGCATCAAATAACGAGTAACTAACAGCATTCGCGACCATCAGAGCATCAAATAACGAGTAACTAACAGCAGTCGCGACCATCAGAGCATCAAGCACCGAGTAACTAACAGCAGTCGCGACCATCAGAGCATCAAGCACCGAGTAACTAACAGCAGTCGCGACCATCAGAGCATCAAGCACCGAGTAACTAACAGCAGTCGCGACCATCAGAGCATCAAGCAACGAGTAACTAACAGCAGTCGCGACCATCAGAGCATCAAGCACCGAGTAACTAACAGCAGTNTAGTTTGTGGTTTGGTTTGTGGTTTAGTTTGTGGTTTGGTTTGTGGTTTAGTTTGTGGTTTAGTTTGTGGTTTAGTTTGCGGTTTGGTTTGTGGTTTGGTTTGTAGTTTAGTTTGCGGTTTAGTTTGTGGTTTGGTTTGTGGTTTAGTTTGTGCTTTAGTTTGCAGTTTGGTTTGTGGTTTAGTTTGCGGTTTAGTTTGTGGTTTAGTTTGTGGTTTGGTTTGTGGTTTAGTTTGTGGTTTGGTTTGTGGTTTAGTTTGTGGTTTAGTTTGTGCTTTAGTTTGCAGTTTGGTTTGTGGTTTAGTTTGTGGTTTAGTTTGTGGTTTGGTTTGTGGTTTGGTTTGTGGTTTAGTTTGTGGTTTGGTTTGTGGTTTAGTTTGTGGTTTGGTTTGTGGTTTGGTGTGGTGGTTTGTGTGGGTGTGGCATCTACTGTTGGTGTTGGGCAGATTGTCGAGCAACCACCCCACAAGTGGCACTGATCTCGTTCAACGCAGCTATCGTTTCGTCCCAGTCCGGAGTGCTGCTGCTGCCCGCTGCAAACCCTGCTTTCAACAAACAGTTAGAAGTTCTAATTTATTATTTCATCTTAATGCGATAGCAAATATATCATTTTTTCAGAGAACTTTGCTACTTACTTTGCAAAAATTGAAGAGCTACTTCCCTAAAAAAACTCTACGGTCTTTGGTACGAATATTCAATTAACTTCATTATCACTCGGTACATTTAAATGAAATTTTTGGTACCTGTTGATAAAACATTGAATTTCACTAGAATAATTTTAGGAACACATCGCATACGAATATAAATACTGAAAAGTAATATCAGCAGTAAACCTAAGTTCAAATCAGCTGAAAATCGAAATTTAAACAATTTTAAGACATTAAGAACCTTAGTAAAGCACCTGTAACTCCGGTAGCACTCGATGTGGTGGCTGATCCAAGAGAGGATGCAGCTTTGTTCAAGCTTTTTTATGATCTATTCCTTGTTTAATCAAAGAGCTAGGCAATAGCCCGCTTGTTAATTTGATACTTCTTCGTATATATTACGGTCTGCGAGCCGAGATGTTTCGCATCCTGTAACGCACGTTTGATTACGCAGATCACGGCGTTTCATTTTTTCACATGTTGGAAGAACATTGACGCTATTTTGGCTGCTTGAAATGGTACTTGCTTTTTACATTAGACGTCATAGTTTTCTTCTGGTCAACCAAAATCCCAGTTTGGTGGTCCACCGATCGCATAGTTTGAGGATCAACCAAAGTCGCAGTTCACCGGTCATCGGACTCCACGTCCCGGTTTTCATCATGAAATTCACCGTCACTTTGGAATGCCTGACGCTGCGATAACCGATCTTCTCCGTCACCATTCCGTCCAAGTTTAGAGGCACCGGCCACATGGTCGGACGTCGGCGGTGTCGCGGGAGCGGAAACCGGAGCCCATACTTTCTAAAAAAAGTTAAGAGATCGTAAGTTCATCAGCCAATCATTGACAGCCTTTCAAGCAAAATCCACCAATCATAGACAAGAAAATAGAGCGTAAGTACTTACGTTTTGAAAGTATGGCCACGGAACTTCTGATGGGTCGAGCTCCTCGGCCGAAGACTCGGGCCCTGCGCGCACAACTTGAGATGGACTCCGCTTGTCCATCTCGCCTTCACAAGCCCTGGGACTTGACAAAGTCCTAGGACTTCCCTCTGTGATATTAAGACAATGCCAAACATGGCTAGAGAATTTCCAATAGGTATTGAAAATCTAATGTTTCATAACGAATTTATATTACGATATTTTATTATTAACAGAAAGAGTGAGCTAAACATTTTTTAAATAAATATAATCATCAAGACAGAAGATGACATTAGCCAAATAACAATAAATTTGAGGAGGGAAATTTAAATAGAAATTAATGGGAGCAGTGATATAGTTATTGTTCTCATGTACGCATTTATCATGTTTCAGAGTCTAGTCTCTCATTTAAAACAGAATTACCACCGTAACAAGCGCTATATTTCATCTCGCTTTTTTTTGTACTGTTCTCTTCCTTGTGAGAGAATCTTGATACTGAGGGCGAACAGTTCTTCAATCAAATCCAAGTCGTTATCAAGTCTATGTTTAATTGTAGATATTATAAATACATGTATCTTATTTGTAAAAGTCACAAACATTCTGCAATAAAATCGCAAGAAAACATGTAAATGAATAAACATGTTACAATCATACAGCAACTATAACGATCGTAACTAGCGCATTTTTTTTTTCTTTCATTTTGTTGCAGGCAAGCAACGCGTCTCTGCAAGCGAAAAGTTGAACCCGAGCAACTAAACTCTTAGTACAGACGCCCTGCAAAGCTCGCAATCAACTCTTTGAAAATAAAGTGCGTCTTATTCATTGAATAAAATTATTCACATGACCAAAACCAAAAACGATTTCTTTATGTTAGTATTATTATTAACTTAGTCAAAATCTGAGTGTAGATAACGATTCCTTTACGTACGTAGCATAAACCTAATCAAAATCTGAGTGTAGACGACGCTTTCTTTACGTACGTATCATTAACTTAATCAAAATCTGAGTGTAGATAATGATTTCTTCACGTACGTGTCATTAACCTAATCAAAGTCTGAGTGTAGATGGCGCTTTCTTTTCGTAAGCATCATTAACTCAATCAATATCTGAGTGTAGAAGATACTTTCTTTACGTATGTATCATTAACTTAATCAAAATCTGAGTGTAGACGACGCTTTCTTTACGTACGTATCATTAACTTAATCAATATCTGAGTGTAGAGATATCCATTATTCTACATATAGTCGAATTCACTGCAGACGGAATGTAAAGTTTAAGTTTGAAGTCTAAGGCAAAAACTGGCTCGAGTTCAGACAAAAGAAGACGTCAATAAAAAGGCAGGTCGTTGGTTGCGTCTTTACGCGGCTGTCTTGAGCCAGCCTCTAGGCTTCTTATCTCGTTCTCGACACTCATTTTTTTAAAGCACAATTTTTAGTTGAGTACCGCTATATATCGATATTTTATCACATGATTCCGGATAAAATTTATAATTTTATGAGGGATTTGATAGTTTCATGCAAAGTCAACACTCAAGTATGAAAAAACCCTGAAGAAATATTTACCCCACATTGAGTACTGCAGATAATTCCTTCCTACCGTAATGAACTTTATAAACTTGAAGAACAATTAATTAATAATGATACAAATTTCAAAATGATTGCATACATTATTCAAATTTATTTATCACTATTATATCATATGAACATAATAGTAAGATTTAATACTTTTTATAAATTAAAAAACAACATCTTTAACAACAACAATATTAACATAATTATCAATTGCACAACTTCTAAAATTATGAGAACATAACAAAAATAAATTTGGAGAAGTATTTATATTTTGAAACTATAATCATGAGTAGAAAAATTAAAGTCAAGAATAAAACTCAATTTTATTAAGTTTACCAGGCATATGCTTGGTGGTCGGAGAGGGTGAGACTGCAGGGGTTGAGGGGGGGTGTTCCAACCGCTGCTACCACAACCGACGGGGGAATAGCGGTCCAATCATATGGTTGGTAAACAATGGGTTGAAACAATCAATCATCGAGACTACCAATAAGCACTTGAAATGTGAATCAATTGTCAAATATGAATTAATTGATCGATTTGTAAAATTTTCTTTTTATTTAGTATAAGAAGAACTGGTTCCTTTTAATGTGGCGCAATATGGTTTCCTCAATGGCGCTTCCATTGTAAAAGCAAATATTCTAACTGACAATTAGTAAATTTAAAAATTTATTAAACTTATTTATTTTAGAAGTAAAGAATGTAAGTGAATTTAAATTAAATATTTTTTACCGGCAGGCAATATCGGCGTGTAATGGGCGTATTTTAGTCGAGTGACCACATCAGCGGCGGCCATGAGCAGCTGGAGGACTGTTGCAGGACTATTCAACACCTACAGGTTGTTGGAGGACTGTTCAACAGCTAGCAGAATTTGAAGTGCTGTTCAATAACTGCAAATTTTTGAAGGTTTGCCAGCAGTTGAGCGCTGCGGTGTAATGAGTAATAAAGACAAATTTTAATCACCAATCATAAAAACCATGGATTTTAATTGCATTAAACGATGTTTAGAAGTTTGCCAACAGTTGAGGGCTGCGGTCCAGTGACCGTCGAGAACCGCGCCATTGAGGGCGAGGTAGCTGCGCCCCACTCCTACCCCTGGATGGTCGCCCTCTTCATCGACGACGCTTACTTCTGCGGCGGCGCCATCATTGATGACCAATGGATTCTGACAGCGGCGCACTGCATGGACGGGTGAGGATATCAACACGAATATTTAAGTGTTAACAATTATGAGTACTATTCAACTAATTAACTTTTCTCCATTACTCGAAATCTCCACTACTCGAACGAAATCCATTACTCGAAATTTCGCTAAATCTGGTGTTAAAATTTTGTATCCCGTCAAGTGCAAATAATTTGAATAATCATTGTAAAGCGAAAATATTGTAAAAATGCATTGCAGATTTCAAAGTCGCCAAAAATTCTTATTTGATTCAATAGAAAACGGTTTATGATGAAGAATTAATTGCTAATTCTGTTGTAGTTCCTAACTGTACACTTTATAGGGCAGCAAGTGTGGAGGTTGTCGCCGGTGTCAACGATCTCCGGCAACCCGACCGCTACCAAGTGTCCCTAACTTCTACCGACTTCACAGTCCACGAAGAGTAAGGCGGCATCCTCCTCAGGAACGAAATCGCTGTCATCTGACTGCCTGAACCTCTGGTCTGGTCAGGTGAACATTTCTTCCCTTGATTTACTGCACTCAGAATCAACACTCACCAGTTGCAGGCTTGCTGGTATACGTAACGTACGTGCAGGCTTGGTACGTTATCCGCAGATACTTGCACCACGGTGTCAATAGAACGAAATTCCGTTATGAATACACTGAGAGAATTTAACGTGTGCGACTTTCGCTTAGCAGCGGAGAGATTTGCGCTTCGAAATTGAAAAGAAACATAATTTTACATTTTTTCTTTACTTATCATCACATGTAAATAGCAAATAATATTTGATGCGCCTAAACGGAGGCTTTTGATAAGCTGATCGAATGTTAAAGGAATAGTACTTTATTTTGTAGCAGTGATTATCAATGTTGATTTGGCAGACTCCAAAAGAGATATCACAGAGGAAACAGTGCGCAAACGTGATTATAATGAATGCTTGAATGAATAGGATATACCATGAAAAGCGTTGATAGTTCAAATTGTTAGTAAATAGTTAAAATTGTTCAAGAATTTTAAAAAGCTCTGTATTAAGAAGAACGCATTTCATTTTTCCACAGAAAATATCTCTCCCGTGTGTCTGCCGTCTAAGAGTACTGCTGAGCTGGAAGCTGGAGATAAATTCGTCCTCTCTAGTTTGGGTGAACCTTCGTAAGCGAAATTCCACTCAAAATGAATTACGCAATAGTTTTAAACTAAAATATTTCGTTTAGATTGCGATAAAATTTCCCACTCGACCGCTACTTTCATGTAAAGCGGTATGTTCAAGTTCAAATTGCGAGAAATTTTTCAAGATATTATCCGCAGAAGACATCGGTGACGTAAGATGCTATTTTTCTCTTAACAGGGTTCAACGATGACGTCATACTCCAGAACTTGGTGGTTCTTAGCAACGACGAATGGCTGTGTCTTCAGGCTTCTTCAGGCGTAGTTTGCGCCGAAAGCACAGGAGTTTGTATTGTGAGTTTACATCATTCAAAGATTCCACAATAAATTTTATCAAAATGGGCCATATTGCACGTTATAAATGTGTTACGGATTGTCGAATGAATGGAATTTAATAGTACAATAATGTGATATCACTTTTCTCGTCTTGAAAATTTAAAAATTTAATTGCAGTTAAAATTTGATACTTCATAATGTAAAAAAACGGAAGAATTTTTGAAGATCGTTTTAAATTCCTTCAAGATGATCATTGATAATTTTAACAATGTTTAACCGTAGTACTCGCAAGTCTCAAGACTAACGGTCATTCCTCAAACTCCAGGCCAGCTCAGGCGCCCCCATGAACTTCGTGGCCGGAGACAAGACTTACTGCGACAATGATCTGAAAAAAAGCAAGCAGAAACAATAATCATGGCTGTAAAAAATGAATTTTACATACGCGGCACGTCTTTCGTCTCCTCCGCTGGTTGCGAGGTAGGCTTCACGGATGGCTTCACCAGCGTCACCCACTACCTCGACTGGATCTCTGAAAAAACTGGCATCGTCATCGATCCTTGAATTATTAAATTTCTCCCCGAATTTTAACTTCAAGTAAACATTATTAAATAATAAGGTGGATATTAATGTCCAATTTTCTGTTGACCAAAGAGTGGAGGTAGAAAGATTTTGAAAGTTAACTGGCCAGCTAACTGGATACAACCAAAGTTATATCAATTTTTAAATCACATTATTTGCACTCAATGCTTGTGTTCATAAACGTAGAGAGTGGTAGGAATATAAAAACTTCATTCATCACACTACTAGAGAATTCATCAGTACCATTGTATAGAGAAGAGCTCGAAGCGTTAGTTCCAAATAATATCTCAAGAATTCTACAATGTTCAAGCTGACACATTCGATACAACTTTGAATTGTATTTTTAGATAGACACTTTGCTATCAAATGTTATTAAATATATATTAAGAACTTTCTGATGGCCAACAAAACAGCAATTAAACCCATGCTTATCATTTAATTAGAAAAGCTTCAACATTGTGAACATACGGCTTTTTCTCCAGCCGTAGTCCATCAGCATGAAATGGAACAATATAAGTTATTATTAAGTTTAGGCCAGAACACGTATCAAGTTGAACACTGAATACGTGTTCAACTTGACCCACCCTACTCCCCATATTATAATATATTTTATTAAATTAAATTATATTATATTATATTATATTCGTCGTATGGCAAAATACATACTATTTTATTCAATAAAAACTTGAGATGACAGATCAAAAATTGTATATTTCATTCAACTTTTAATTTCTTTCTCAGCGCTCATAAAAAAAGTTACATCCCAATTGCGTGATGCTCCAACCTAACCATACTATTTTGCTCCTATTATGACGGTGTCCTCTTCTCTTTATTTAAAAAATAAAATACTTTGCTCCTTTTTTATCAACCATTCGCTTTCTATTGTTGGAAACCTTTGAAGGTATCCTTTATTTGAAGGTATCCTTTATTTGAACTCTTTATTTGAAGGTATCCTTTGCCCTGTCTTTGACGATTTCCTTTGCTCTTTATTGCTGATATATCTAAACGGTATGTGGCCGGTTTCACGATCAAACGTCTGAAATTTTTTCTGTTGATTGAATCTTCACTTCTTTGAAATCTAGGACGGATTATTGTAGGCAACTATTGAAGGCCTTTATATGTTGGCCGTGGATATGACATCCTAGATTTCTATTCAGTCCGGCCCGCCGAACAATTTCAACCGGTCCCTAGATTTTTATTCAGTCTTGCCTGCCGAGCAAAAGTTTTCGTCCTAATTTAGACTTCTCGCTTTAGTTGAACTATTTATTAATATATCCTAATATATTGGTATCTTATATCATTTATAGATTAATAAATTAATATACCCTATTATCCTAATATGTTTATCATTGTCAGCCTATACCGGCAGAGATGCATAATTTATCCGAGAACCTTCTTCTGATTTGGCCATAATGATATGATAATTTTAGCGGCATCAATTTACATGATTATCTATTTGGCAAATTTATTTCCGTATGTAGTTAAAATCAAACACTGAATCAAGGAAACAATAGCAACTTTGATTTCCTTTTTCAATCTTTTAATGAAGGTTTTGCGGCTGATTTTGCAAATAAATATTTAGGCAAAAAATTACATTAGTAGATTACTGGTAGGGAAATCACTTAGAGTATGTATGAAATTTGTGTTTCTAATTAAATTATTAGAGAGTTTATGTAGAAATAAAAAAATAATAGATTAAAATTTTACATACTCCTGCAATTTAGGCACTCGTCTATGGAATGCACATTAAATTTTTTATCCTAAGTCATCTGTCTATGAAGTACATATGAAAACTTTAATTAATGTAACCCTGAGATTCCATCAAAATATAATTAATGAGATAACTTTTATTTTATCAATAGATTAATTTTTCTGTTAATCCCTAAGTTCAAATCGCCTCATCGTCTCAATCAGAGGATGTTTGCTAAGCCATCATTTCTTGTCTTCCTGAGCATTTGTGGTTAATTCTTAATGAGTTTGCCGAGGATTAAATCCTGGCCTGATTAATGAGAATCATTTCCCCGGCCCCTTTCGTTGGAGTTAATTAGATGAACTTGCAGTAAAGTTTCGCTGGGATGAATTAACGAGAAAATTTAACCTTAGGCGTGTTGTAACGAAGTTTTAACGTAACGCTTTTTAGGAATGAAAAACTGTAACTGAGCTGTAACGTAAATGTGTTTGTAGCGAACGTGTTGCGTAATCCGATTTTGTGTAACGCGTGCTTGTAACGGAGGTGTAACACAACGTGTGTTTGTAACGGAGGTGTAACACAACGTGTGTTTGTAACAGAGGTGTAACACAACGTGTATTTGTAACAGAGGTGTAACACCTGTCTCTTATACACATCTAGNCGGAGGTGTAACACAACGTGTGCTTGTAACGGAGGTGTAACACAACGTGTGTTTGTAACGGAGGTGTAACACAACGTGTGTTTGTAACGGAGGAGTAACACAACGTGTGCTTGTAACGGAGGTGTAACACAACGTGTGCTTGTAACGGAGGTGTAACACAATGTGTGTTTGTAACGAAGAATTAACGAAATGCGTATTTGTGACAATGCAATTTAGATTATCGTGTATTTACAGCATCGAGAATTTATGCCAATGGTCGTTACACTTTCATGTAGGGAAATTGAGAATTATATGTGGTTCTTATATAATTGGGCTGTAATGGCATCTCTAATATATACTATAGATACAATAATTTGTAACGTTACATCAGACTGATGATGGAGCTGGACTCCGAAACGTTTTCAATATCGATATGGTGAATTTGCTTGACGATTTCTTTGCTTTTAGATACAATTATAGTATCGTAGATTTACCAAAGTATTTATAAAGTAGAGCTAAGTGCACCTGTGGGTTTAAAAACACATATAGTATTCGCAAGAAATAAAAACAAGGCTTACAAACCAGTACTATTATTGATGTTGTTTTCATTCGTTTTTTAAACGAACGATTTCGCACCGTAAATGTTTAAAAACCGTCTGTTCGTACGGAGAAATAAACAGTTTATCGACCTAAACTTTCGTTTACGTAAGATGTCGAACTTTTGGAAAAAGACATGTACATTGACATTGAAAATTAATTACAAATTACTTAATGGGTAAATTTTACCGAACGAGCTCTTTAGGGTAAAGTAATTTCCAGTAATACTTGCCCGAACGATCCGCAATTTCCTCAGAACTATTTTTCTCTCATAGGGTAAGTTTGTAGGTAATTTCGAGCGGTGTTGGAGTCATTCTCTTGGTAATGGCCGGCCATGTTGGGGTAATTTGGCAGCATGAAATCAACAGTTAGGGTAACGACAGCTTTGCCAACTTCATGGTCAATACAAAGAGGGGAAATAAGGGGAGGTGAGGGGAGACGAGGGAACATGAGGGTTCTTTGTGTGTTGGCATTACGTACATAAAACTAGGTTGTTTGCCCCTGCACCGGCGCGGCGTGAATTCTCCACCGGGTTTCGTTTATTCACATAAAAATGCACAAATTTATTCACTCCCAAATTTATTCACAAATTTATTTTCTCCCATTTTTTCTGTTGAAAGATCAAGTTCCATTTTCCACCCATTATTTGATTTGAAAAATTCGCCCATTAGTTGAGATAAAAAGTCAGCCATTATGTTTCCAAAAAAACTGACCACGAAAAATAAAGGCTTAATATCCGGGTAATGATAAAACCGATATAATTAAATTAGTTCTTATGAATATTTATTTCAAAATATAAATAACTTTTCCAGATACATATATTTGAATTAAAAAATAAATATATATGTTAATAATTTTTGTAGCCAAATTTTCCACACTGCAATGAATAATTAAAGCTGAGAGTATTGCATTATTCAGAATAACCTTCGTAAATAACGTTCCGGTGATTTCAATGTCATGACCACCCTTGATTTAGATTAAATTAATCACATCCACTTCAATAAATCAATGCCGTTGGCCTCATTCAGGACTGGTAATTGAACTGCATTACCTTCGATTAAATAATTAGGGATTCGGATTAATTATCGTAGGATTAACGTACAAGATTAGAAAATTAAGTCCTTTATAGTAGTAAATCCGTAGTATTTCATTCATAAATTTACATGTGTATGACCAGCTGTGGACATTCTAGATTTTTTGCACCTGATTTGGACGTTTTTACGACTTTTTTTTACGACGTGTTCGCGGTGTTTTCGTGACGTGTTCGCTACGTGTTCGCTACGTGTTCGCAACGTGTTTACGACACGTTTTCGCGACGTGTTCGCGACATGTTCGCTACGTGTTCGCGACTTGTTCGCTACGTGTTTACGACGTGTTCGCAACGTGTTCGCAAAGGTGTTTACGACACGTGTTCGCGACGTGTTCGCGACGTGTTCGCGGTCCGATTATATAATTATAAGTCATACAGGACAATAAAACAAATTTTGTGATCAGCGTGAAGATCTTTCCACTTTTTATTGAAGTGTTTCGAAAAGTTACGATTTAAAGCTCATAGATAATTCTCGTCTCATTTCGCTTTTTTTGGTGACGATGTTATTTTACAAAAAGTCTACGAATGTGCAACTAAATGATATTAAACAGAGTAAACAAAATTTCGATAATATGTATCGTATCCTATGATTATACTGAAATAAATCATAATTAGCTGAGGCAAAGCAGTGGGTACCGAACTGTAGTGTATGCATCACTATTCAATTTCGGAATCGGGAACGATTTTTAGAGACGCTTTTTCATGCGAAAAAAAACTTATAATCCTCACCGAAAAGTTGAGGATTATGAATTTACTACTATTATCACGCGCCATCTTACTGGTCCCATTGGACCATCGCTAAATTCGAACAGCAACCTTAATCAGGTAATAATGAGCACATCAAATAAAAAAATTTTACGATCAAAAACTTTTTGATCACAAAAATTAATGATCACAAAAAATTGGGAAATCCTGGTAAGTGAAGCAAATAATTAAGAAATTATTGTTGGAAATTTATAAAATTTTGATCATTGAGAGCATTATTTGACCTTGATATATATAGGATTAGCGACAGTTTACTTTGATATTGCTAATATTATGATTTTTGAGAGTACTAATTGAGTTTGATGAACTTGGGCGGGAGTAAATTAAGGTATTGGTTGACCTTGATAAACTAATTAATTAATTCATTAAAAACTAATTAAAATACTAATGAAGTAAATAAACTGTTTGACCAGAGGAACTCGGAATTATTAAAAATTAGTTGAGCCAAAACAATTCACAAATAGAACAAAATAATTGATTTCTGATACGTAGCAAATCAAAGTGTAGTGTCAAATAATGCAAAATTTTAAATTGCCGCAATATCTAAACATGTTTTTTAGACATTAAGCCATTAATAATATGTTTTAATAAACTTTAATCACACAAATCTACAAATTACCATCATAAATCTCTTCAAAAATAATTTTAAAGACGTTACAGCTTCATTAAATTTTCTTCATTTTAAATCGCATCTGTTCTGACAATAAATAAAATAGTCGAAATAAACAAATATGAATGGCAAATTTTGAGTAAACATACTCGCATAACAAATTGAGGTGAATAAAGTTTTAGGCTTTGATCTTTGTTCAAAAGAAGTCCAAATTTTAACCAGTCTGCATTTTATAAAATTCGTGTTTTTTAGCATTTTAGCCAAAAAATACGCTAACGGGAGCAGCCACATTTTTATTTAGAACACAAAGACATTTTCTGCGTGTATGAATAACGTGGTCGTAAAACATAAAAGACAACGTTCACAACTTTAACGAATGTATAATAAAAATCTGCATATTTCTTATAATATTGCACCATATAAAGAACAACATACAGAACTGTTATAATAATTTAATGAATAGTCAACAGTGAACAGAGCTGTGATAATAACGCAATTTGTATTCAACAACGCACAGAACTGTGATAATAATTTGATATTTAGTCAACAACGTCCAGATTTATTATAGTAACGCAATGTATAATTAACAACGCACAGAACTGTGATAATAATTTTATGTATAATCAAAAACGTCCAGAACTGTGAAAATAATTCAATGTATAATCAACAACGCACAGAACTGTAATAATGATTTAATGTTTAATCAACAACGCTCAGAGCTGTGATAATAATTTGATAAATAATCAACAACGGACAGAACTGTGATAATAATTTTATGTATAATCAACAATGCACAGAGATGTCATAATAATTTGACATATAATCAACAACGGACAGAACTGTGATAATAACGCAATATGTCGCTCTCTAGAAGAATGCCTGGTACAGGAAACATTTGAGTAATATTTAACTGTGAATATCGTGCATGATATGCATGATATTCCATGTATATTCATTATGTTTACCATTCCATACATTTTCTTGATTAACTGTATTACACAAAATTAATTAAGATGAAGCTGAAGAGGAAGAAACATTTATTTAGCAACGTTAGAGATAACATAGATAATGCAAATATATGACCATGAAAATTATAGCGAAAAATTATAATGTGTGTTGACATTTTTTAGTAAATTTTTGAGTTTGATGAAATCTGTTAACAAACATAATTTTTGCTCTGAAATCTGGCAGAATTTTGGACAACCAATTCCCAGTCACTACGAACAACCAATTCCCAGTCACTAATAATAACCAGTTCTCAGGTACTTAATGATTAATTCTCAGCCACTAATAACAACCAATTCGTAGTCACTAGGAACAATCAATTCCCAGTCACTAATAATAACTAATTCCCAGTCACTAATAATAACTAATTCCCAGTCACTAATAACAACCAATTCCTAGTCACTAGGAACAATCAATTCCAATTTTTCATTTATGACGGAATTTCTGCAAGGATTGTACAACCAGGCAGAAGAGCTGAACATAGATATGCTCATGCATAATAGTCAATAAATATATACGCACATACATTTTAGCCTATAAATATATAAGTTCACACATATTAATCTACCATATACAACACACATCAGATGCAAAAGTAGAAAGTGTTTCAGTAGAAAGGCTATAAGTCAATCTACTCTAGAGGTACATTTACACAGTGTAGGTCAGTTTACTATATAGGTAGTAGGTAGGTAGGTCAATCTACTCGATAGATCAATTTCCTCTCAATGTCAATCTACTTGGCTGGTCTATCTACTCGATAGATCAATCTCTTCTCAATGTCAATCTACTTGGTTGGTCAATCTACTCGATAGATCAATCTCTTCTCAATGTCAATCTGCTCGTGGATCAATCTCCTATCAGTCAATCTACTCGATAGATCAATCTGCTCGTAGATCAATCTCCTCATAATGTCAATCTGCTTGGTTGGTCAATCTACTCTAAAGTTAAATTTACACGATATGTCAATTTACAATAGAGGCCAATCTACTCTATAATTAAAACTACTCCATTGGTATATCTATTTCATATTTTAATATATATCGTAGGTTAATTGAGAACACTCATTTGTTGCAGGCAAGGATTTCTCGTCACGATTGAGTGATCGTGACATAAAAAAGTATCGAAAAAATGTTAGATATTATTATTTGTCAAAAATAATTAATGTATGATATTAAACTTAACGGAATTATTTTTCAAGCTTTTTCTAAAAAAATGTTCACAGGAATCGGCGGAAAATTTGATACAATCAAAAACAACATCATATGAAACAAATGCAAGTTTTACATACGTTTTTTATACATATTAACCTGAATTATGATCATCGTGGAGAATTCTTATCCTCATTAATATTTCTTTCTAATTATTAAACACAATCTAATCCTGACAAGCAATCCTACGGGCTATGAAATAACTACATAACAGATCATTTTTTTAAAACAGAAGAATAAATGAGGTTGGGATTTTGTTGGAGCAAAGGCAAACAATTGAATCAACATGTTTTTGAAAAGGATTTCTACATTAGCGTTTGTAAAATAAACAGTTGTTCACACTACGTCAACAAAATCAACAGTTGTTCACACCACGTCAACGAAATACATGAATTCATACACGAATTTTCTCTGTTGTGTCCATACATGAATTTTCTCCGTCGTATCGATACATGAATTTTCTCTCCCGCGTCCATACATGAATTTTCTCTGTCGTGTCGATACATGAATTTTCTCTGTCGTGTCCATACATACATGAATTTTCTCTGTCGTGTCCATACATAAATTTTGCCTCGACAAAATAAATTTTGATGAACTGATATTTTGATGATAAATTTTTTGATGAACTCAAATTGTTCTTCCCCATTAGAAACTTTGATTTTGGCCAATAAAAAATTTTGTTGAATAATTTGGCGAAAATTGTAAAAAATGAAGTATATATTCCATTCCTTTTCTTCACCTTATTTTCCTCTTTCATAAATATGTCGCAAAATTACTGTGTATTGAACCAGCATTGATGGACTTCAATTACTCACGTTATCCGGTGAATAAGAATTTTTAATATTAATGAATATAATTATTCTTAATAGATTAATGTTGTAAGAAATAAGTTAATATTCAATTCCAAAAGCCTTCACCGCATTTCCCTCTCCATTAAACATAATATTTCTCCCTGCTGAGAACGTTGCTCAGAGTGGGAGACGAGGACATGCTAATTTCCTTAAATACATGTTAGTTTAGGCTATGAAATTATGGAAATTGTGGAGCAAATTAAGAAATTCTTTAACTTTCAAACGATAAAATTGTGTAAGGTAAGGAAATATACAACTGACTTTTAATGAATAAAAATTATGGTAAAGTATAGAAAATTCTTAGAAACAAAGACTGTTAGTAATACATTGTTTTTGTTGATTTATTAGTTCTTATATGTCTGTTTACCCTATTTTTTAAGATTGTTTGACAGGAAAAACTTATCAAACGCAGTCAGAATTGTTTGTTCAATATAGGTATAATTTTATTCTTACTCTCCCTTATATTTTCATCAAATCAACTCTAATTTCTAGTTGATTCAATAAGACGTCGTGAGAAATTAAGTATTGATATTTTTTTCCTAGAATTGTTCACTATTTCACGTTCAAAGTTACTTTGTCAAATATTAATTATATTACTAAAACTATTAACTCATCCTTTTTAAAATGTAATCACTCTATTCTTCATTTTTATTCATAAGTATAAGTAAATGCAGTTCCGGTACACAATGAATAATATAAACAAACTATGACTGTATACTTGACATGAGTATTATTAAACTTGGAAAAATAACGTACGTATTATATATTGTTCCATTAGAGGTCATTGCATATTACAGTAAATTTACAAGTGTAGGTTATCCAAGGCAATATGTAGGTAATATAGAATTTACAATATGTAGGTTATATAAATTTGGCGCAATTCGGGCTTTCGATAATCAGAGATTAAAATAAAGAGATGTCAGATATGTTCACTTCTATTTACCTATTATATAAACATAATACGAATGTGCACGGATAAATACAACATTTTCTTTGCGACCAGTTTATAATTTTTAGTGACAATTCCTCTTCTCTTGCATGACGAGCGTGACAAGGTCCACTGCACTTCGTACTTTAATTTGTGACGACAGCGGCCTAAACTCGCCTCCTCGGTGATGATGATGATGATGGTGACAGCATTCATCACCACAATCAACACAACAAGCAACGTTGCGCAGGTCACTAACACTGTTGTTCCTGCTGTTACTGTTGCTGGTGCTGTCGTCGTCGGTGTTGGTGATTGTGATGCTCGTATCTGCGATGTTGATTATTGGTGGCGGTCGATGATAGCTTTTATGGTCACCACAAAGCAAGTTATGGGTGCTACCATCCCGGTCACTACTACACGGATCGCGATTGTTTCCAGATCGATCACCACTAAACAAGTCCCGGTTACTACCATGTCTCTCACCACACACGTTCTGGGAACTAACATGACACTGATGGATACGGTGAGCACTACCAGAGATACTGTGACTGCGACCAATAGCATGGCACGAGGACATTTCAGTTGACCTCAGTCCATTTTCGACGATCCCGCTTCCGGAAGGTGCTAGACCCAAAGTGCTGCCGGATGAAGCTCGCCGGTACTCTTGAAAGCTTCCGCCAATGTTGCCGATGCCGATACCGAGCGTGGAAGATCCAGCCCCCCAGACCCCAGCCATGCCGCTGATCCCGAGACCAGATGTGAACGATTTTGAGGGGGTACCCCAATATCTGTAGGCATCTTTGTATCCCTCTCGGAAATTGTCTCGGAAGGAGTTAAGGGACTCGATGCGTTTGGCTCGGCAGAAGGTTAATTCCGGAGGGTTTTGGATTTGGATTGTCGGCCCAGTGGCGGCCACCTGTGGGCCAAGGGCGCCGTTTGGCCCAGCAAGGTTGGCCGGCCTTACCGCGGCCGAAACTGGGGCAGAATATGCAGGCTGATACGGCTCCAGCATACGCAGTTTACCCCATCTGTGGAGAGATACGCGATGAAAAGTTAACTGAGAATTAAAACTTATATATAGGAATTAATCAATGCCATCATATGGATGATTCATATTCAGAAATATAAGCTTCAATAATAAATTAGCTATTAATTTATTATTTATTATGAAATTAATAAATAAAATAAATTAATTAATAATAATATGTAAAATTACATTTATTAAACCTAATATTATTATATTAATTATTAGATTCAATCTTCGAAAATATACTTAATTGAATACGAATTATTGAAAATGGAGGACTAACCGATGCTTAACAAGTAAGCGAATGGTGAGCAATTTTTACAAATAAAATTTGGATAAATAATAAATTAGCCAGAGGATGAAATTGGATTTGATGCGAATATAAATCATCTATATCTCTAACTCTAATTTGATGTGAACCAAACGGTAACAAAAATGTTTAGCTCCGAAATCCTTTTACACGTAACAATTGATAAAATATTAACCACTACTGCTGAAGGTGAATCAAGAGCTGCACGATTATAATCAATTATCTTCACCTTTATGAATAACAGTGCAATGTTTTCAATAGCAACATAATTAACATTAAGGCAGCAAACAAGTACAAACACAAAGAGAAGTACACAATCAACTTGTACACAATTGGGAGCGTGAAGGCCAAGGCGTGTTTACAGGTGCAAAACGCGTGTTTACATCTCAGACTGTGAACTGTTGGGCTTTGTTAAAGAGATCTTCACACAAACCTTCTGTTGGCATCAGTTGTGTGCATCAAAACGACTGACTGCTCAGTGCATCAAGCTATCAGTTCATATCAAACCAATTGTGTGCATCAAAACGACTGTCTGCTCAGTGCATCAAGCTATCAGCTCACATCAAACCGGCTGTGTGCATCAAACCGACTGTGTGCATCAAACCGGCTGTGTGCATCAAACCGGCAGAGTTTATCAAGCCGTCAGCTAGCATCAAAGGACGAGCCAATAAGAAAGATTTGTATTCCTTTGTAATATTTTTCAAAGTGATTTTAGACTACAGTTATGCAATACTTCTTATATATGACAATTGTGTTTTGAACTCTACGGTGAAATTATTTATTATGCAAGATATTTTTGAACAAGGCAGAACATTTTTTGAACATTTTTTTGAACGTTTCATGAATGTTTTGAGCTTGGCAGGCATGTTTTGAGCTTGGCAGGTATGTTTGGAGCTTGGCAGGTATGTTTTGAGCTTGGCAGGTATGTTTTGAGCTTGGCAGGTATGTTTTGAGCTTGGCAGGTATGTTTTGAGCTTGGCAGGTATGTTTTGAGCTTGGCAGGTATGTTTTGAGCTTAGCAGGGATGTTTTGAGCTTGGCAGGTATGTTTTAAGCTTGGCAGGTACAGTATGTTTTGAGCTTGGCAGGTATGTTTTGAGCTTGGCAGGTATGTTTTGAGCTTGGCAGGTATGTTTTGAGCTTGGCAGGGATGTTTTGAGCTTGATAGGTATGTTTTGAGCTTGGCAGGTATGCAAACGAAAATTTTATTCGGCGGCTGGCGAGGCCAGCTAGGCTGATTGCCGTCATGCACGGAGTTTCAACACGTAGTTCCGCCGAACATTCAATTTTCACAAGATTTTATCAGCATGTGAGAGGCTCGGGTGCAAGTTACGGTACATCTAATTTGGACGATGAGGTGAAACGGTAAATTTGCGGTGCAAATCCACGTAAAATAAACAGTAGTTACGATAAATGAAATTGGATGCATCATATCCTACGCGTAAATTTGCTATATTAGTTTTGTAGTTACGACGAATGAAATTGGATGCACCACATCCTCTATGTGAATTAGCTATATTAGTTGTACCTTTAAAGTAATTGAAAATAGAGTTGGATCAGTAATTCAGTGTTATTTGCGTGATGGTTTACATGTTGTAATGGTTGTTCATGGGTAGTAACATAGTAGGTACGTTACACATTGTGATCTGGGTGCTTGTGAAGCAAATGTTTTTAACGTTCTTTACGCATAAGTTGAAAACATAAGTTTTCTTTACACATAAGTTGAAACAGTCAAAGGAATGAAAACGCCGATTCAGGTTCGATACGTGGCTCTCATTTTCACCATAAAATCTAAACAAAATCTAACAGGAAATTTTTACGAATGTTTTGAAGGAGCTATGGCCTCTGCTGGAATAAATATACGTGCAATGCGTCAAGAAATGCGTTGATGCCTAAAAAATATTCCTCAACGAGCATTACTCCTATCAGAAAAGCTGTGTTTTCTGCGTCGTAAAATGCGTTATTGTCAATTGGATATGGCAAGTTCACCGAGAATTTAAAAGCAAAGCAAACACGATATTTTGGATAAATATATACACGCTAAATTTACGTGGTATTTTCCTTGCTCTCAAATTCTTGGTGAAAATTTGATTTGAGAAGACTATAAAAAATTATTTTTTAAATTGTAATGCCCCAGGAACAATTAAACATAATTTACGAACCTCTGATCGTGTTTGGGAATCGTTTGTTGAACTTAGCCGGCAGTCATTTGAAAAATTATGATAGTTAAAAGTTCGTAATGAAGTTCCCGTATTAAAATAAGTTCTTTCGACGCATAACAATTTGGACCAGCAGAGTACAAGGGAAGAAAACATTTTTTAGGCATTTTAATTTAGTGAAAAATATATGTGACTTTCTTATGCGGATTATCGCAGTTTTTACCTTGAGCCAGAGAACACACATTAAATTTTCAGTGTCAAGGTACAAAACACATAAAAATGTGCAGAAGCTAACACTTTCATTTATTTGTTCACTTGAAGCGAATTTTCCTTCTTTGCTAAAACCTCCTCTATTATATTGAATATCATCTTTTCGCTTCAACTTCCTAATTATTATTGATCTATCTATAAATTTATATATGTAAAATAATTATTGTACATAGATTAATTTGCTGTCCACCTGTGTTCATATTGACGGTTTACGATTATGTGAGAGATATTATATGAGAATATAAACTATATAAACTATTGAGCGAGAAATATTAAGTTAATACATAAAGAGAATATGAAATCGGTAACATTAAGTTTCATTTCAATTTAATTGGAGGGTAAATGTAAATTTGCTCTTCAAATGCCAATTTCTCTTAAATCACAGCACGGAAGCTCGATTCAATCTGTTCAATGATTAATTATTTGGCTTATTTCCAATGCTTAATGTGAAGTCTTCGTAAGAATAATTTCGATTCCAAGATAAACGAATGTTGTTGGCATGGATAGTAACTAATATCGATACCAACAGGACTTGAAATAAGGACACGAACTAAGAAAAAACGACTCGAAAAGTTGAATTTTCATTGTTTTACTATGAGTTGAATCTATTTAGTGATAATTAATTTAATTTAATTAACATAATTTAACTACTCTATACATAGTATAAAAATTAACCAGATCTCAATAGCTTAGCTTCAAGAACTTTATTCCGAAAAATTAGCCTGCGACGTACGAACAACTTTTATGAAGATGATTACAAGTTTCCTAAAAGTTACATGAACGCAATTTTTAATCCTGCAAGAAGTTCGTTCCACACGTGTAGTATGCCTGTATTTTGTATGTTTATTATTTATTTGAGTATTCGTTAATTTTGCATGCGCATATTTTAATTTTTCGCTTGTTCCACATCTTTTTTAATTGCGAGATCATAAAATTCGTTCAAGATAGTTCATCATGCTGACATTGAAACCCTGTCAACATAATTATAGCGATTAATGATTAATGTTCCATATACGTATAATAAAGAACGTTTTATAATTAATGATTTCTTTCAAGATTTAAAAATATTTCCTCAACCATGAATACAATCGCAAACCGTCAATATGAATACATATGGGTAGCAAACTTGTCTTTGTACAATTATTTGTTCTTCTATTTTTATAATCGTTTACCGGTCGCATGCTGCAGAAAAATTCTAACTTTAAATTTTCTCGAAAATATTTCATAAGGCTGGAGTAAATACCTAATCGGATTTACGAGATCCCGAAAAACACGTCAGTAAACCCCAAGCAAATCCTATGAATTCAGTATTTATTCATCGTTTAAAGCGTGAATTTTATTGTGGACTGCTGTTCGGAAATTTTTTATAGTACACTTTCTATATACCGTTTAAAGTCCATTAAAAATTATTCCGGGTTAAAATTATTCAATTTTTTCCCTTAGAGTTTCGGCGCGATTCGTTGATGGTGCTTTGCTGGATTTAGAAAATATTGTTCGAATTTTTTTATAAATGTTATGATAAGTTTTTGTTTTAATAACTTAGAAAGTTTGTCCGACACAAGCGTAATACATGTTTTTGAAACTCACACTCGACAACAAACATTATCAACAATAACAAGTCTGGAAGTTAAGAAGAGTTGGAGCAGCAAAGGAGTTGTGCTCTGAAAACACATCTGCTTAATGGTGAGCCTTCCAGTGCAATAACACCTGCAGTTCCTGGCCTATTGCGCGGGAAATGATCTCGAACGAAGAGATTCTGTATGAAATGATATTGAGCGGAGTTATAGGGAATGATAGTGGGAAATATGATCTCGAGAGATATGATTTTAAAGGAAATGATTTCGAGATGAATGATTTCGAAAGGAATGATTTCGAAGGGAATGATTTCGAAGGGAATGATTTCGAGATGAATGATTTCGAAAGGAATGACTTCGAAGGGAAGGATTTCGAAGTGAAGAATTTCGAAGTGAATGATTTCGAGGTGAATGATTACGAAGTGAATGATTTCGAAGGGAATGATTTCGAATGGAATGATTTCGAAGGGAATGATTTCAAAGGGAATGATTTCGAAGGGAATGATTTCGAAGGGCATGATTTCAAATGGAACAATCTTAAAGGGATTGATTGCGGGAAACATGATCTCGAGAGATATGGTTTTGAATGAAATTATTTCTATGGGCATGATTTCGAACTGAATAATTTCGAAGGGAATGATCTCGTGCGAAATTATTTTGAGAGATCACAAGAGAAACGATCTCGAAGTAAGAGAAATTTATCGCGATGAAATCGATAAGAATGATCAGAAAGGGGAGTGATCAAGAAGGGCGTGATCTCTTTTACACCTATTAATAAACATTGTTTTAGCGCCGAACCTTTGATTAACACTATTATTGATTTATAATAACGCTTACCTATTAATGAACATTGTTATGTCGTCGAATTTTTAAATAACACTATTATTGCTTTATAATAACACTTACCTATTAATGAGCATTGTTATGGCCTTCACTTACCTATTAATGAGCATTGTTAAGGCCTTCACTTACCTATTAATGCGCATTGTTATGGCCTTCGCTTACCTATTAATGAGCATTGTTATGGCCTTCGCTTACCTATTAATGAGCATTGTTATGGCCTTCGCTTACCTATTAATAAACATTTTATGGCCTTCACTTACCTATTAATGAACATTGTTATGGCCTTCGCTTACCTATTAATGAGCATTGTTATGGCCTTCACTTACCTATTGATGAGCATTGTTATGGCCTTCACCTACCTATTAATGAGCATTGTTATGGCCTTCGCTTACCTATTAATGAGCATTGTTATGGCCTTCACTTACCAATTAATGAGCATTGTTATGGCCTTCGCTTACCTATTAATGAACATTATTATGGCCTTCACTTACCTATTAATGAGCATTATTATGGCCTTCACTTACCTATTAATAAACATTTTTATGGCCTTCACTTACCTATTAATGAACATTGTTATAGCGCCGAACCTTTGAATAATACTATTATTGCTTTATAATGACACTTACCTAATAATGAACATTGTTATAACGCCGAACCATTTAATAACACTATTATTGCTTTATGAGAACACTTACCTACTAATGAATATAGTTATGGCACCGGACCTTTGAATAACAATATTATTGCTTAGGAATAACACCTACCTATTAATGAACATTACTACAGCCTTCACTTACCTATTAATAAACAATGTTATCGCGCCGAACCTTTGAATAACACTAGCATTGCTCTATAATAACACTTACCTATTAATTAACATTATTATGGCATTAACTTACCTATTAATAAACAATGTTATCGCGCCGAACCTTTGAATAACACTAGCATTGCTCTATAATAACACTTACCTGTTAATGAACATTGTTATGGCGCCGGACCTTTGAATAACAATATTATTGCTTAGGAATAACACCTACCTATTAATAAACATTACTATAGCCTTCACTTACCTATTAATGAACATCGTTATAGCGCCGAACCTTTGAATAACACTAGCATTGCTCTATAATAACACTTACCTATTAATGAACATCGTTATGGCGCCGAACCACAGCATCAAGACGATGATGACAAGCGCCACTTCATCAGCTCTGATCCACTCTGACCCGACCTGGAACGCCGCACCCTCTCTGCTCCAGGAGTTGTTAACAAGTCCCTGGTGGTAAGGGTGGTGACCGCAGTAGATGTGGTGTGCACCCATGTCGTATCCTGGATACCCTATCACCCCAGGGTAGGTTTTGCGGTATATTTTAGGGTGGAACTTGGTTGGGGGAAGGTAGTCGGTTGCCTGGGGATGGTCGTTTGGAAAGGGGGATTGATTTGCGTTCACGCTGATTCTGTTTATGGTTGGGTTGTGGTCAGATTTGTGGTCGTTTGGAAAGGGGAACTGGTTAGCGTTCACGCTGATTCGGTTTATGGTTGGGTTGGGATCAGGTTTTTGGTCGTTTTGAATGGAAATGACGTTAGGATTGTTTAAGGTGTTTGTGAGGTTGGATCCTGAGTGAATAAACTGAGATCTCAAGTTTTGAGCTTTTGTTAGCGGTAGATCAGACGCTATAAAGGCTGATGGATCGTCACTGTGCTGCTCGTCAAGGTAGTGTCGATCCTGATTCGGTTTTATTTCATTGTTTTCAGTGATATTTAAATATTTAATTCGAAGAATATCCTCTTCTGATTTCGCATTGAGTCTGACGATATTTTCTTCATATTTTGTAGCTCCTTCAGTCACATTTTTCAAGTTATTTGAGATGAAATTCTTGGCTGTCAATTCATTAAATACAAAAGATCTTTCAGTAAAATCTATTGCAGCTCGCTTACCGGAAGATTTTTTCAATTTTTTAGCTTTATTATTCATCTTGTAATCCCATTTTTTGTCCTGCCTCTCTCTGCTTCTATTGCCTTTAACTTGCTTATTTCTGACATTGCTTTCCACATTTTCACTTGGTATAAACAGTTCATTCAAGTTATTTGCGAGTCTTCCATCAATGTTATTTTTCTTCAACATTTTTCTTTTACGTCTCATCTTATCATTATTAAGTTTCAATAGCTTGTCGGAATTGTTTGCCTTAGATGCTATATTTAAACTATAAAACAAATTTTCATCTTTTCTTAACGCTTCATGTGACAAAAAATGCTTAAATTTCCAATCATAAATTCCTTTATCGCGAGGAAACGATTTATCCGAGAAATTTCTGCTCAAATCAGAGTTCATTCTTTGACGTGAAGCCCATGCAGAAAAGTTATTCTCAAATGAAGTCCGGAGAAAATAATTTCCCTGGTTCCGGTCCGCAATTTTCGACTTGCGAAAATCCCAGCTGGCTTTAGACGGCTTGGTTGCTTCTAAAATTGAATCCATATATTCGCTTGAAGTTATCGGAGCATTTGAAAAGCTTTTCATAGTCATGAGAATAATCTCTGGGACGGACTTTTTATCCTCAAGTTAGCAATAAGTGTGATTCTTAAGTTTGCAAATTGAGTTTTTAAAAAAGAAGATAATCTTCATTTTTACCACATAATCGCAGGCCATTATACTTTAATTCCAAACAAATTATCGATATGGCATTGTCGAGAGTGCATTCATGAACACATTGCATATAAAATAAATCGAACATTTTTTACGTATAATGAGTATAAAGTAAAAAATGCTTCCGAATTTTGATGCTTGCGTTAACAAAAATGAAAACACGTTTTTGAGCATGAACTGGCAGTCGTTTTATTTTTTGTGCTGTAATAAAAAAATGAATGGTGCCTCATATAAAAGTTTTCAAGTTAAAATATCTGTCATCCTTCCAATTAAATGTATTTTTGGACAACAACAAATATTTTCGCGTGTTTAATGTTCTCAAATAGTGGAATCTTTTACTAAACGATCCATAGGAAACTGGAATGACTGACCAGCTCTACAATCATTGATCTTGAAGAACATTTATCGAAAACTAAAGTTTTAAGATTCACTTTATTTTTTGGCTTCTTTCAATCCATGAACCATCCAGAAATATACGAAAAATATATATTTCTCCTCTCAAGTGTTGGTTTCAAAGATGATACATACGATGATTCAATACTAAACGAACGTCAATATCGATTATATGAAAGTTTGGTACACTTTTTGCCACTGTTTTTTCTTGTTAGGAGCCACTATTGCGTGACGCAGTCAAGAATAATGCTGATGCCATTAACTAAACGATGCAATCACTTTTTCTTATTCTCTCTTTCTTCATTCTTTCCATTATTTTCCTATTCCTTCTTCATTGTTATCATTATTCTTCAGGACAATAAAAACGTCTTCACCCAAATCTCATGTTCCGTATTTTTTGCCTCAACTTCAAACGTTGTAAACTTCACTGTAGTCCACTACGAATTATTAAGGTAATTACGCTATAACCTTAACATAATACGACACTTTAGAACCTTCAAGAAATGTTACGGAAATGACACTATAACCTCCACGGTTATGCGGTAATGATGCTATAATTTTCACGTCTCGCTTTATTTCATAACCTTCACTGGAGTCCACTAGGAAATATTACGGTAATGACGCTATAACCTTCACGTCTTACGTTACTTCATAACTTTCACGTATTACATTACTTTATAACCTTCACACTTCTACGTTACTTCACAACCTTCACGCCTTAAATAATCTCGTTGCTTCATAACCTTCATGTCTTACATTACCTCATAACCTTCACGTCTTACATTACCTCATAAGTATGTGCAGGTTTGGCTTATTCAGTAACATCGACCAATCGACCTCCGCTGTTGTTCGTAAGTAGGAATAATTTCTGCAGACACGCTCATATTCTGTGAAGAAAATCTAATTCAAGTCTACGCATCGATGAGTAGCACACGACATGAAGCACTCGGCTTTTCTTTTACTCATTGATTACTGGCACAAGTCATTTTCAGTATTCATTTTTGTATTTATTATTCGCTAAATTGGAATTTAGGTAAATCGCATTAAGAAATGAGTCACATTCATTAAAATTAATCTTCGTGAAATGTAATCCTGACGAGATTTAATCCTTGTTGAGATTTTTAACTTCAATTTCAAAAGGGAACTGTTTAATTCTCAGTTCGGTACAAATTTTACTTTGCAAGAAATTGTTTGAACTTTATTCATTCCGTGTTAGGTAAGACACTGATGGAATTTTTTTTTATCCAACTCTCAAAATTTTTTCAATATGGGCAATATGTTACTTTTTCAGTTTTTCAAGCACGTATTAAGATTTTTATGATTGACGTTTTTTATAACTTTCATCCTACGACAAAAAACAGCGCACTTAGTTACAGCTTTTTTAAAGTGAGCTTTGGGCTGATTACATTTTTTATCTGATCCATTTTTTTATCCGAGCTCTCCTTATCAGTCATTATTTTTTAAAAATAACTGCACAACGCTCAGAGTCTACATTTAATTTGTCTTTCTATCGAGTTTCAAATTTTATACTGAAATAACTTTCCTATATTAATTTTCTGAATATTTTCAAGTATTTTCCGTCCATTCAAGCGTTTTTCACCCTAAAAAGTTTTCATCTGAAAGTTATTGCAATATCTTCGTTGAACACCGTAATTTTTCGCAGTGAAATTGCTGTTATCTACATTTTCAACACGTTGTCATGCAGTTCAATCAAATTTAGTTTAGCTACGTGTATTTGTGCACATTTTATCAGCACATTATCATCCAGTTCAGTCAAATTCAGTTCAGCTACTCGTAGTTGTGCAAGTTTTATGACTTTAACTCTTCATAAATTTTACAAAAATCTGAAGCTGAGCTACATATCATACAAACTCATCAAACTACGGCAAAATAAACCTGCTCGTGAGATTGATATTTGAACGTTCAAAATTTGTCTAACTTTGCATTAAATTCGTGTATATGTGAATACAAAGTTTTTTAAGAGAATTAATCGATAATGTACTAATGTGCAACGTTATTATAGTTGCAGAAGATGTGCTTTATATCCAAAAAACTAAATGGCCCTAAAAAATGATGTCATATCGAAAAAATATTCAATTTAGTTCCAGAAAATAGTGTGTTAGTCATAAGAACGTTAATAATATCATAATTTTAACTAGTAGACAAACCCGGCATTTATCTCATTCATATCCTAACATCGGAAATCCCATTAGCCCGCCTTTCATTGATAGTTTCAATGATAATAATTTTTATTAGAATAGGAAGACTTGGGCATCGAACTCTCACTTATTTGCAAACCGAAGTACAACTTTTTTTAGAGGACGACTCTGACATGAAAATCTCAACACTTTCGTAACGAAGTTGAAATGTATATATTGGAAAACACACATACGTATATAAATTAAGGAAATTTTTTTAATTTTAAGGAAATCATGAGGCGCTTAATTCCTCCCAATGCAACATGAATAAAATTTTCCTCTCATGCTCAACTAAGAATTGCCCTCCAACTTATCTGAAAATATTGTCACTGGCCAACGGTTCTTGCAAACTTGTTACGTTACTTCATAACGAAGGAGTATATAAGTATTTTAATGATCATTGCGAGTATATAACTTGAAATTAATAAGTATTATAATTGGACTGGACGTAAGAATTATTCGTTTTGAATTTGACTTGATATCGTAATTGTACAAGACTCTATATTTCTTCTCATTGGAGCAGAATTATTTGTTATTCGTATTGTACTGGACTTAATAGTTATTCTTATTAGACTACCTTTATACATTTATTTTTCTTACTTTTCTTAGATACTTTTCGTGGTTTTGGATACTTTTTGTCATTGTGGTTTGTCATTGGAAACTGCATTCAATGCACGCATTACCCAGTCTTATTTCAACCATAGAGGTTTTCTTAATGAGCAATGCTTTATTTCTGGCACCTCATTACGGTCGTAAAAAGAGTGACAAGCAACTCCTTAACAGGACTCGTAAGTCATTTCAAGGCTAATGAGAATTTGAGAAAGACTTTATGGGACATAAAGGCCAGGTGCCGCCTTTGTTGGATCAGCTCCTTATGGCGTTGCGCTGGATCTTCCACTTTAAATTGAAAATTTAATTTAACGAAAATTGAAAACTTGGCGTTACAAAGGAATAAAAAAATTTAAAATGATTATTGAACGAACCTTTAGATTTGAGGTATCACACCTAATGTCACATTCATGTCTCCTCACATTTTTTATTCATCCGAGACTCACACTTAATGTGTTACACCTCAGATTTCATATGCATTCGAACCTCACACTGAAAGTGTATTATACCACATCTTGAATAACCGTATTCTCGTATTTGTCTATGATTACTTGTTTGTTTGAATATGAAACATGTGCAAAAAAATATTTATTTGTTATGGAATACATTTATATTAACAAACCACCGCAGATATAGAAGTGAATGGGTTGATTGGGTGCGTATCAGGGATACCTATCGTTCTGGGATTTTACCTGGACCATAAAAAATCCATTCTTCCTTCGAAAAAAGTAAGGCACTGCAAGACTTGGCTGGAAGGGTTGGCGCTAAAATTTTTGTTTATTGTTTTAAGTATTTAAATTTGGGTAAATTAATCTCTTCCAAATGACGGAAAATAATTTTCCGATATTTCAACAGGAGAGTTAAATGGATTTTTTATAAAATGTGGGTTTGAATGGGCCGTTCTTAAATTAGCATTAACTGGCTTTAATAATATTCACGTGATTCTGGATGACTGGATTTGGAAGATCGGGATGCTAAAATTGCAGGGATTATTGATCCCATTGAACGCCAGGCAAACCTGCTGTTATTAAACCTGCTATTAAACCACGAAGGTCGCTGCGAAAAAAGTAAAATGAATAAATCCCCCAAGTTGGGTGCAAATCCGACATTTATTGAATAAATCCCAAATTT